CACACACACACACACACACACACACACACACACACACACACACACACGCACACACTCGGCTTGAAAGGTACCATGATGGCATGACCTAACCGCGCAGAACAGAAGTTTCATGGGAAGTTCAAGCGTCCGTATTCTGTATTCTCGTTTGGGGACTCGCAATGAGTAGAATTGACATTAGCTTTCATGGGGGAAGAATCGATTTATAGCCAATTATGTTGGCTTTTACTTCGTTCAGGGTGTCGAAAGAGAGCCACTTCCTGGCATTTTTCATTTCTGGCCGTAGTTTATGGAAATTGACCGCTAAGACGGAAGGATCGGTATATTGCTGGGGAGGCCGACACACGGCAAAACTGGGAGCGTGCAAGCTTCCGGCAATTCTGCAACCTGTGGAGAAAGTGGTGACAGGGGCGAAGAGGGTTTTTGGGAAATCTTCTGAGCATTCCAGCATTTGTTTATTTCTTATAGTTTCATATATTGTTTAGGTTTATCTCGAGGTTAAGTACGACATTTCAAAATTGTACAAAATCAACAGGACTTTAATCATTTTAAATCATATTAATTTTCTCATATTAACACTTGAAAGGACCGTTTTTCTAAAATATTTAGTGTTGTACAGGCATGCGCCAACAGGGACCTTCCCCAATTTCTCAAAATTTGTGACAGCTTTCCTGTACTACCCCCTACCCGTCAAACAGCAGAACAGCACTCGGCGTCGCACTTGTAATCGGCCAGCCAAAAGCCGTAGGGGTTGGAAATTTGCGGTCAGATCTGGGGGGGCTAGTCCAACGTGCACCCTTTCTGTTGAACTATATCAACGGTGTGCATTTGGAGTGTGGATTCTCTCTCCCCCTCCCACCCTCATCCTTGTCTAGAAGACTCCGTACATTTGCGGTAACGCCGGTAAAGTGCATCATGCCTCGAAGGCATAGACATATGGCGGGACTTCACTGCATGGAGGGGTGGAAAACAGGAGTAGTGGGTCAACGGTCAACCCTGTGTGGAATCGGGAGCTAGGCCTCATGTGCAGGATTACAGCCAACGTGGAAAAGGAGGACAAGGCTCTCATAAGCAAATTCAGGACCCAAGGGTTATGGATCGCTTGGATGGGGAGAAGAGTAAGGACATTAGGTCAAGAAGAGTTGTGTGGAGACTTTTAGGTCTCGCTCAACTACTTAAGATTGGACATGAATCTGGACTGGTGGCTAGACCAGGTACATTTCCACTGATCAATAACTTCTAAAGTATTGGATCTCATTCGAGTCCACATACATGTAGTTTGCTGTGTAGTGCAGCCACGCCCTCTCTCAGCTCAATTCAGACAGGAGCAACATTAGCAGCCATGGGATGTTTTTTAGGAGCAGCTTATTCCATTTGTCTCTACAATCGTGTTGTGTTTGGAAATTTCAAGCCGTATTTTATGCTGGCAATTACTGCGACATTAGAAGGGATTCACAGTCATCGCACAGAATTCCAACTCCTGCCACGTTAGAAGGGATTCACAGTCATGGCACGGAATCCCAGCTCCGACTTAAAAATATAAATAGATCAAGCCGTATTTCATTCACAAGTTCTTCGATTCAAACAGAAGAGAAATTTTCATGGTTTTTTACCTTTTGTAATTGGATTTGTTTGGATAGGTGTTTATCCTTAGGTATTCTATTCAGAACGGGCAGTGCAGCAGAGTGGCAGATCATCAAGAAACGCAGTAAAATCCTGGGCGTTAGCTAAAGCTACTTGTCTTCCCTCTCATTTGGCGCAGAATTTCCCCTGGGTATTATGGGTGGGCTTCTCAGAGAGCCCGAAGATATTTTACGCACATCTACGGTGAGATTAGCTCCTCACTATTTCTAGGATGTGGTTACTTTCTCAGGTTTCTAGTGATTGAAAAAAACTAGCATTTGAACATTTTCTAAAGTCATCTATTGCAGTGCTCCATTGTAAAGAGCACACACTGTTGCGAGGTTTTTTTTTTTTTTTTTTTTTTTTTTTTTTTTTTTTATATTTTTTTTTTAAAAAAAAAAAATTTTTTTGGGTTTTTTTTTTTTTTTTTTTTTTTTTTTTTTTTTTTTAAGAAAGCCCAGGTTGTTGTAGGGGTGGGAGAGGTTTTGAAAAGGACGCTGGACCTCTTTTCCAGCATAAGCCTAGACGAAGATTGAAGATTGAGCTGCTTTCCAGTAGAAGCCGAGGATGTGTAACGACGTCACTACTACAGGGTGGAATGTTGAGGTCGCGGGACCCAAGATCTTGTTCGTTGTTTTTCCATGCTCTTTGTGTTAAAAAAATTGGCTCATTTCTCAATTTATGCTTATCATCCTTGCACGGGGATCATGTTACTCTTGTCTGTGTCGATCCTTTTTTTTTTTTTTTTTTTTTTTTGGGAGGACTGTAGTGCTCACAAATTATAACGTGGACGATTTCTCTATTACGCGTATCATCCTTGCGCAGGGGCCATGCTAAAAATCATTCTCTGTATCGTTCCAATTTTAACGGATGTCCCGTTCACGGATGTTCTGGAGGCCCGTGGAGGGTTATGGGTCAGGCTGAAGATCGTTGTGCCGTTAAGTATGTCTCCAAATGATGGCAGAGAGATGCATTCCCTTTTTTTTCCCTTTTTCTCTTATGTTTGGGAGATGCATTTCTTTCGGACTGGGGGGAGGGAGATTGGGAACGACAAACCGGGAGAGCAGGTCCAGTACACCTGCCTGAAAAGGCAGCATTTATTTGACAGAGCGCCGGAATTAGATATTGCAGGTAAATAAATAGGTGCAGGCCTGGGCAAGGCTTAACTTATCCCCTTAGCCGTTCACCTTAGCACAGCCAGCCTGGCCAATCTCGCACGCGGCACACCGTCTGTATGTCACTGCCGTCATCTTTGCTTGCTATGTGGGAACTAGAATGAGGTAAAAGCTCTCGCGACGACGTATTTCTACACCTATTTTTTCAAGTTATGGATCTTGTGACAAAAGCCGGCATCTCTCTCTCTCTCTCTCTCTCTCTCTCTCTCTCTCTCTCTCTCTCTCTCTCTC